ACACACACACACACACACACACACACACACACACACACACACACACGTTGATTTTCTCTCTGCTGAATTCCACCGTGAGAGGAGGAAGCAGGCTCTTCATGGATTTGCTCACATTCACTTCCATAGAGGCACCCGTGCGATGTTTGGGGAGGGAAACAACTTTATTTTACGTATGATTCCTAAATCTAGATGGTACCAACTTGAATCTAGAGATCGTGGTTTGCAGACCAGGGAACAAGTCTCTCAGCTGTCCTCTGTGTATCGACTGTGTTGTGCAGGCACTTTAGTGTCTGTGATCTGACTTGCTGCCTGCAGCCAGCTATTTTTAGATGATGGGGTCCTTTAACAAATGTAGGCCTTGGCTGCTTTTGGGATATGCTACAAGGGTTTAGTCTGCCCCATCCCCAACTTCCAAGGCTCTAGGTGTTGGAATATTCTTACACAGCCGAGTGTCATACACAACAGCATTGTTGTGATACACCTTATGTCACACAACCCAAACCTCCATAAGCTTGGGACTCTATCAGGCTCCAGCCAGAGGGCAGCTATGAATATGAGCAGCCTCTCCTGAAAACCACTGTGACGGTTTCATTGTTGACTTTCCACAACCTGCAGTCACCTGGGAGGGAAGTCCCAATGAGAGATTGTTTAGCTAAGATTGACCCATGGATGTGTCTGTGGAGGACTGTACTGATAATGGATGTGAGAAGCCTTAGCCCACTGTGGATGGCACCATTCTCTAGTTTGGGGCCCTGGACTTCTGTGACTAAGAACGTGAGCCGAGCAGCAGACGTGCATGCGTTTTCCCCCCTTTCTCCTCTTGATCGAGTATGACTGACTGCTCATTCCTGCCTTGATTTCTATGAAATGATGAGCTTTAACATGGATCACATACCAAATGAGCCCCTTTCCGCCTAAAATTGTTTTTTTTTTTTTGGTCAGGGTCTGTTACTATAGCGACACAAATGAAGCTAGGATGGTGAACTGGCTAGTTTTATGTCAACTTGATACAAGCTAAAATCATCAGAGAAGAAGGATCCTCAATTGAGAAAAATGTCTACATAAGGTATTTTCTTAATTAGTGATTCATGGTGGGGAGAGCCCATTGTGGGTGGGGTCACCCCTGGGCTGATAGTCCTGACTTCTATAAGAAAGCAGGTTAAGCAAGGCACTAAGCAGCACTCCTCTACAGGCTTCTGCATCAGCTCCTATCTCCAGGTCCCTGCCCTGCCTGAGTTCTTACTTTCACTCCTTTTGATGATGATGCTTTTGATACAGAACCATGAGCAAAACAATCCCTTTCTTCCCTAAGGTGCTTTGGTCACAGTGTTTCATCACAGTAGTAGTAACCCAACTAAGACAGATGGCCACTGTTGTCATCCCAGAGTAGGATTCTCCTCTGCTTGTGCACATCTCACTGGCTGCACAGAAACTTAGGTTCAGAGCTGGAGACTCATCTCTTCCATTCAGTGGCCTGAAGGTCAGGCGCTAGTAGGTGGCTTTGTAATGATATCTGATGGAGCCACACGGGTGGGCTATATTAACTTCTGTTGACTGTGGCAATTTACGTGTCCCCTGGGAGGCTCCTGGTCTGTTGGGCCCAGTGAGTGGGCCTATCCTTTGTAGTGGTCCTTCCCGGCTTTCACACTTGGTCAGCGAATCTCATTCCAGCCTTCCAGGGTCAGTTTTAGGATCAGGTGACATGATGGATGGTTTGCTCTCTTGTGGGGTTCCCCATGCCTCTTGCTGAGGTGGATGTGGGAGTTGGGGACCAGGGCTGCTTCTGGTGCTTCCTTCCTAGTCCCTGTCTGTCTGGGAGGCCTCAAGGGGCTTTTATGTTCCCCACTGGCTTTGGCAGACCCTGAGGTCTGTTCCTTTACTTGTCACACAAGTAGGGCATCTACTTTCTATGCCCTGGCTGCTGGCAGGCCTGGGGCCTATGAGAATCACATGGAAGCACTTAGGGAAAGGTGCAGTGTAGCAGCAAAGACTGTTCTGGAAGGCCTGGTGAAATCAGGCAGAGAAAGAAGGAGCTGCTGCCTGTGGGCCTCTGGCTTTCAGTACCTTGGTGGGAGCTGGCCTCTGGCGCCAGCTGCTTAATTCAGAACATTGTTATTTAAACGCCCTTCATGTTAAAGGGAGATGAAAAGAATTCACTTCATTTTTCAGAGGTCTCCAAATAGCCATGGAAAATCGATTCTTTTTCTGCCACCAATTAATGTCAGCCCCTCTTGTGGCTTTTGGTGGATGCCACAGTGATGACGTAGGGAATGTAGGTACAGGAGCCACACTCTGGGTTCTGCTGCCAAGTGGAGAGTCAGAATCCCAACTGGGTCCTGGACTGGCCACCCTTGTAGATGACCCAACCTAGATACTGTGCCTCGGACTGACATCCTCGGAGAACTGCAGGGTGGAGTACGTACAGGTTTCCTGTGGCCGCTGTTGTCCAGTCTGCTGGGTGTACTCCTGTCTGGATAGCTTGTTTCATCAGCCATCAACTTGAGCTTGGAGTTGGTGGTGCCGTGAGAGTTTGGTATTTACCCTGCAGTTTGTGAACTGTTCTAAAAGTGGTATTTGAAGAAATAGGATATGGACAGAAGAGCCTTTGCAAGCTGCGACAAGTGGCCTGAGGCTGAGATCTCCCAGCAGGCTCATAGCCTGAGGCCCTGGAGGAGACCCCTTTCAAATTCTTGCCTGTGTATGTAGAAAGTGGGGTGCTATACAGGAAAGCTTTGGGGGTATGATGCTAAGTCTTGAGTATTATTTGGGAACACTCTGTATTATTTTGGAAGCGTTTGCCCATGCCAGGCTGAAGGGGAGAGGAGAAGGAAGCTGTAGATGATTCTAGAAGTATGTGGGTGGCACAGAAAATCACAGGGCACAGAAGCGTGAGAGCACAGGATATCCCAGGCAGCATGGAGCAGCACAGATGGAGACCTAGTGGTAGTCAGGCAGGGGAGGATGCAAAGGGTACTGCTTCTGAGGACAGCCTGTAGACTGGGGGCTGCTGCAGTGTGGTATGAGGGCCTTGGAGGGGTTAGCAGACCTTTTGCTTTGGGGACAGAGGATAAGTGTGGTTGGTCTTGGAGGTCACCCTGTCTCTGTCACAACTTGTCAGCAAAAGAAAAGCAGCTGTAGACTGTAGGTGAATAAAGGTGGTTGTGACTGTGTTCTAACAATACACACATGTGCACACACATGTCGCTCATGGAAGTAATTAGCAGTTGACTTGTTCTGCATACTCTGTATGTTCCCAGGTGAGGACTGTGTCACTCACTGTAAGAGGTACCCAGATGAAATGGGACTAAGGAGCTAAAGATACCAGGATCCAGGATTTGAGAAGCTCAGCTGCATGAGGGTATGACCTAGGAGGGAATTCTAAGAGACGGTTGGGTCATAATACATTCTGTAATAACCCATGCAAGGGAGGTTCTTCTGGGAGGGTGATGGCTAAGCAAAGTAATTAGAGGTCGATGTAGGCCAAAAAAGCAGAGGTAAGCCATCCTGCTCTAAGCCTGTGGCCACAGTGCCATGTTTGTTTGTGGTGTGTGGAGCCCCAGGAGGGATTCTGGGAGTCACTGGTGGATAGAAAGGGAATGAGTGTCCTCTCTTTCCTGGAGTCAGAGGAGGAAGAGGAGCCTAATGGAGTACAGAAATACCCATTGTGCATCTTTGCTTTTAGCTCTTTGGCATTTGCAGTTTCCATTGAAATCAAGTTTACAGGTTCTCCACAGCGTCCTCCAGTTCCACCCTTCTGCTGACTTGGGTGCTCTGTGTCCCCACTGGGGCCAATCTCACCCCATCATTTTCTGTGATACATTTCTTACATGTTCCCATGTCTTTAAGCAAAATCTGTCATGAAGATGAAACTAGACCTGATACAGGCTCTACAAGTGGTCCACCCCCTCCTGCTACATACCAGCCTCATACTTCACTTTTAAACATACTTTATTTAAAATATGGAACAGTTTGTCTGGCAGTCATCTCATTCTAACAAAGCTTGCTGAGGTTTAGGTAGTTTTAAGAGATTTTATACTAGCTCAGCTTCCTCCTAGTCTGCTTTAGGTAAGGACAGCAGGGGGAAAATGGAGGCGTTGTAATTTTAGGGGACAAAAGAGAAGGGGGCACTGGTTGGGTGAGCCAGGTTACTGTGGGAAGTGGCTATATTATAAAAGTACCTTAAGATTAAATCCCAGTAGGAGGGGAAGCTTTGGTATACATTCTGTGTGCTAAGTAGCCGTTGCTTCTAGTGTGCTTTATAAATGACCAACCGCTTCCAAACACACTTTCTTACTCTACTTAAAAATTGCTTCTCTCTAGGAACTTGGCAGAATGGCTGAGACCTGCAAAGTGAAATACACAGTGTTGGACAGCCCTTTGGGGAAGATGGAGCTGTCTGGCTGTGAGCGAGGCCTGCATGGGATCCGGTTTCTCAGCGGGAAGACCCCAAACACTGAGTAAGTGTGAACAGTAAGCATGGGCACTACCTGTGGGGTGTGTATTGAAGGCAGGAGTCAGAAGAGCCCTGAGTCCTCTCCCCTGGTCACGAGGCATTGCAGAGCCTGGTGCCACCAACCACAAACATTAGCAGCTCAGAAAACGTCTGTGAGTTGTGGTGTTCTCGGCAGCTCATATATTACCCAGTAATCTGGACTAGCTCATAGGCCCTGGGAACATGACTTTGATGGGAGCTTCCAGACATTTGATTCATGCATTCTTTTGTAGAGGTGCTAAATCCCATGAGCACCAAGCATTTTTTTTAAATGTGTATATGTGTCTATGCCTGTGTGTAAACATGTCCATGTGGATACATGTGTCTATGTGTGCATGTGGAAGCCAGAGGGCAGCCCCCAGTGCTTTCCACCTTGGTTTTGGGGACAGGGTCTCTCATTGGCTTGGAGTTACCCATTAGGCTAGGTTAGCCAACCAAGCTAGACAAACCTCATGGATTCACCTGTCTTTAGTTTCCCAGCATAGGGATTACAGGCAGTGCCACAGTGGCAGCTTTTCACATGGATTCATGTGGCTGAACCTAGATCCTCAGGCAAGCAGGTTGGTGACTGAGCCATCTTCCCCACCCACACTGAGTTTTGATTGTTGAATGTGTGAGATACAGGGGTGGACAGCTCTCAATCATGTGGCTTACCTCAGAAGTTTGAAATTAAGCCTGGCAGGGTCTATCAGCTGGTTATCCCACTGCTAGTCTAGATTGCTTTCTCTGTCAGGCCACTCTGCTTCCTGGAGGTGGCACTAGCCCTGGAGTGATCACTGCTAAGGTGTGGAAAGCGTCTCTGCAGGGTGGGTTAGAGCACAATGTCTGGGAGGACAATTATTCCTCTTTATGTGGTCCTTACTATATGTTTCTACTTGTAAAAACAAAACCAACCAACCAAAACTAAACAAAACACTCTGAGCATCTCATTCTCAAATGTAGTGCTGAACTTCCTCTGTTCACTGGCCATGAGTGGTAAGTATTAAAATGGCAGTTCTTGTTATTTCTGAGAAAAGTAGGGAAAGAAAGAATGAATGAAAGAATGAGAGAAGAAAGAAAAGAAAAAGCACGAACGCCTGGGCTGGTTGTTTGTCTTAACTGGCTAATAAACACAATGCCAAGAACATTAGATAAAGAAAATACATAAGAAACATAAAAATTGATTTTAATGGACCCCTGTCAGAGACAGCCATAATGAGCATTGTTTGGTAATAAATTCCAGCATGGCCCTCCCCGGCCAGCCCCTCCTGTAGAGCTGTGTGCTGCAATCAATATCGTCTTTAAGACTTCAAGACTGAAAAATAAGCAAACCTTTGAACTGCGGGAACAGGCTCCTCTCAGTTTCTGTGAGAACTGGCTGGCCGCCGTGCTCTGAAAATCACAGGCACCAAATAATTTGTAGGGAAAATGTCACTTTGTCTCTTAGCATGTTCAGTAGCTCAATAAATCATAGAAATTATGTGTTGGCTTCTTTTGCTTTTGGAGGAACAGTCGAGGCTCTCCTTACTGTAAATTTGGGGAAGAAAATGTAAAAAGCAGGCATTCTAAGATCCATTTAGGGGCTGGAGAGATGGCTCAATGGTTAAGATCATATACTGCTCTTGCAGAGGACTGGAGTTCCCTTCCTCCATGTCAGCTGACGTACAACTGCCTGTAAGTTCAGTTTGAGGGGTCCCAGTGCCTCTGACATCCAAGGGCACCAGTCATGCAGACTCTCTCTCTCTCTCTCTCTCTCTCTCTCTCTCTCTCTCTCTCTCTCTCTCTCACACACACACACACACGCACACACACACACACACACACACACACACACACACACTTAATTCATTTCCTTAAATCTTGAAAATGGTATATTTGTATAAGTATGTCTAGTGGATTGTGTGGACTAAAGAAAGAGGTTGAGTGAAGTTAGGAATAGATTTGACTGTAAGCAGCCCCGCTGTAGTAGAGATGTAGCTGGTTTCCCTCAGGGAAGGGCCCTTGTGTGTGTGGGTGGAGGCTAGGTGGCCCATGTTGGGAGTATTCCATCTCCTCTTCCCCATTTTCTCAGTTCCCCACTGAGGCCCTGCCTGAGGCTACAAGCCAGGCACTACCTCAGGAGAGAAATGGAAGGATTGTGCCTCCCTGAAGAGGAGTGACTGGTGCTTTCTCTTCTCTTGGCCCAGGACTTGGGAAAGGATATCTGAGGGTGCCCAACACTAGCGATCCCTTTGAGTAGCAGTGGGAAGTTGGATTTTAAGGGTATGATGGTTCACCTTGCTTGTCAGTTTGGTGGGATTTAGAATCTCCATGGAAACAAATCTCTGGGCATGTCAGTGAGGTATTGTCTAGACTGGCTTCACTGAGGTGGGAAGGCCCACCCTGAATGTGGGTGGCACAATTCCCTGGCTGGGGTCCTGGACTGAATACAGTGGAGAAGGTGAGCTGAGCACCAGCATTTACCTGTCTGTTCCCTGGGGGGAGGATGCAGTGTTGACCAGGTCAAGCCCCTGCTGCCAGCCACACCTTCTCTCCTTGACGGTCTGTACGCCTGAACTGTGAGTCAGAATAAACGCCATAGTCCTAACGTTGTTTTTATCTGGAATTGTAGTAAGCAGTCAAACCAGTAACTGTCAGGAAGGGCATCCAGCAGCATGTGCTATGTGTGTAGTTGATCTGATAAGGCATTTCAAACCTAGATTACTCAGAATTAGCCATTTTTATTTTGTCAGCTTAAAAAGCTACAATTAAAAAAATTCATAGTGATATTTAGATTTCAGACTTAATGTTCAACAAGTGTTGACAAAAGCATACTGCCATACAGAGAACATTCCAAACAAGATCTAGAACTTCCTGGAAAGATCATTGTGGTTTTATGCTCAAGCCTTGCAAAGACTTCTATCTTCATTTTTCTTGAGTGAATTCCAAGGCTCAGAATTACTGGATTCAACAGCATATAAACATTTAAGGTTATAAGAATTTGTCCCTCCCCCCACACACACTTGGTTCTGTCAGTTTTTAAAGTTTGCCTATTTAGGTGCAAAGGAGGCATCATTTTACTGTGGTTTGAATTTTGTACAAGTCCTTCACCAGGCACATGAGCTGTTCCTTTGTTTGTCTTTTCCTCCTTGAGATAGTCTTACTCTAGAGCCTAGTCTGGCTTTGAATTCACAGGCTCACTTCTGCCTCAGCCTTCTGAGTACTGGCATGACAGGTATGTGCCGCCATGCTTGGCTTAAACTGACCCCTGCCCCAGTTGCTTATATTTTGTGTTTTCTATATTTCTTTAGATGAGAAATTTATAATTTTGAAAAAGTCATCTGACCAGTTTTTCCCTTTACATGTAGCATTTTTTTTTTGCCTTTAGTAAATATGTAACTGTTTGTGGTGGTGCACACCTTTAATCCCAACACTCTAGAAGCAGAGGAAGGTGAATCTGTGAGTTCAAGGCCAGCCAGCTCTACACAAGAGACCCTGCCTCAGAACACAACAACAAAACAAAACAAAAGCCCCCAAATATCCCACAAAACCTCACCATACATACCTACCATGAAAAGCTGGAGTATTTGTTGAAATTTCTCCCTAGTCTTCTTCTTTGCCGTCTCTCAGAAGCACGATCCTTCCTTCACTTAGATATGAGGCCTGGGGAAGTGGCCATGATGGAGGTCCAGTTGATTTTTCTCAAACACGTACTTAGTTTTATACAGCTGTCTAGTTATTCCATTCCTATTGGGGTAATGCAGCTTCCCATTTTGTTCACCTCTGCACTGCTCTTGACTCTTGGCAGTGCTTTTCTAGGGCTGCTCCTGGCTCCACTGGCCCTTGTTCTCACCTCCATGATGACTTGGCCCTGGAGTTTGTGCCTAGCCTGAGATAGTCATGACATGTCTCTGACTGTTGTCTTTGACTTCTTGGTGCCCCTATTTCTGTTTTGCTGTTATTGGGAAAGGATCTCATGTAGTCCTGATGGCATGGAACTCGGGGTGACCTTGAATTTTTGATCTTCCTTTCTCCACCTCTAAATTCTGTGATTAGAGGGGAGCACAATCACCCCACTTGGTTTATATGGAGCTGGGTGTCAAGCCTGAGGTGGTGTGCCTGCTAAACACACACCCCCACCAACCCGTCTATGTTTCTACCTGCCTTCTAGATCTTTATTTTTTTCATTGTTTTTATTTATCAAACATTTATACACACAGATTACATACAATGTGTTTTTATCCAATCCCCTCCCCCTCCGAGGCCTCCCTTCAGCTCCCTGCCGCCACAGGATTCTTAATTTTGCACATTACCTTGCCAGTTGAAGTATCAGTTTTGGCACAGGTTTTTGTTGGGATCTGATTGAGAGGTGTCTGTTTCCATTCTTGGCTGCTTAACAGCTTCATGGTATCGACTCTGTCGATTTGTGGTGTGATTTATCTCTGCGTCTGTTCGGGTTCTCTTTCATTTTCCTCAGCAGGGTTTTGTAGTTTCCAGCATGGAGACCTCACGTGTCTTTGATAAAATTGATTTTTAGGCACTTTGTTCTTGATAGTATTCTAAATCAGCTTAAAACTTTTGTTAACTTCTAAATTATTGCTGCTGGTTGTAGCCATTGATTTTTTTTTTATGTTGATCTTATGTTGTACAAACATCTGTGAATTCATGCACAGGACCCACCCCAACTCCAACCCTGTGATTTTATTTCTACTCTTTGTTACCTATGGCCAGCTTGAGTCTAGAGTCCAGAAATGTTCATTGGAAAGTTCCAGAAAGAAGCTGTCATGACTTACAAGTCCTTACCATTCTGTCTAGTATGATGGCATCTTGGGATGTGTGATGGGACATCCCACCAGCTTGGAATATATGTCTCCATCCATCCAGTGTATTCATTCTGTGAATGCTGTCTACCTTCTAGCTACTCAGCAACTGTATCAGTTATCAGATTAACTTGGTATTCTTCCCTTGCTGTGTTCAAGCAGTCACCTTTACTTCATAATGGCCCGA